GCTTTTTTTTTTTTGACACCACCAGTAGGTCACTCGAAGGCATTTAAACATGTGGATGAAAGCATCATAAATCACCTCTGTACCGTGCTTGTCATAGCATGAGCACGATGTCTGACTTGTACTACTCCGAATTCGACCGCAGCGCTTTCTCCGGCTTCAACACATGATTAGCTGCTCCCGTTGCTTCTTCTCCTACGAATCCCTATACTTAGCTAGCCCACCTCAATACACTGTACCACCTCTATTTCATGTACCTGCACCCCTTCCACCTCCCCTTTCTTTTCCCTCGAGTGCTGTAGCTCCGAATTCCTTTTATTTACATTCAGAACCCGCAGGCACTGTGAGCTCTGTGAACCAAAACCTTACGTTCTCCGAGACCCTAGGGGCGGCTATCAATCCAGGACACACCCAAGTGCCAACATATGTTGGCGAAACGGAGGGTTCCAGACAGTACACGTTCTCTAACGTTCTACCGAAAGCACATAGGCAAAAACTATTTTAAAACGTGTAACAATAATAAAATTAACAATAAATATTATACTAGCATTAATAATAACGCAATAATAGAAACTTCAATTCATATCAATTCAATATCAGTACACTGAGACTGCCAGAAAGGTCACCAGCCAACCAATTAAGGGAGGTCACCCCTCAGGCGAGTGGTGGATGGGCGAGGAAGGTGCGAAGTAATTACAATTGGACACAAATACCGACTCCCTCTATTACGCAGAGCTTCAGAACCCCCAAAAGCATTCCCTCACACCAATACATTGTTTTTGTTGTTCATCTCCAGGTTTCAGAACCTGCAGACGTTGTGATACAGTAAGCAGGGTCATGGGTCTGCCTCGAACGTCTGGGCAACTCAGTTTGGACTTTCCATGCACGACTCAGTGAGTTTACCTGATTAGTCTTTCAATACATCGCACATGTTAGAGCTTCTCTTGGCAATTATGTATTTCCTAGATCATCATTTTGTGTGGTTACTGTTACATAAAATCCCACCGACTGCAAAATTCGGCAAGTTTTCAAGACAAATATTCAATATTATTATTGATATTTATATTTATATGGCTTCTTCATGCGATTCATGAAGGACTAGTCAACAATCATGCCCTAAGCTTATGCAGGAAAGGAGGAATGGGCCAGCGATACAACTTCACATAAGTAAGGGAGAGAGAGAGATAGATAATATTAGTTATGGCCAGCAGTTCCTCTCAAATTTTCAGGCCTAACATTCATTTCACAATGGTGTGAGGAAAAATTCAAAAGATGTGATGTTCTGAGTGTCAGTCGACACTCATCGACTGACAATTTCGTAAGAGAAGCCATTCAACTTTGAGTAGAAGACTATATCCAACATGTGGCAGGAGAAGGAACCGGGGTACGAATCAATTACTTCCTTTTCGCCGTTGCACCTTATTAAAAGAGAGAAAAAACCCGCGCTTGTCCTCAAATATTGATTTTTCTATTCTCAAATGCTCAAATATAGCACCTTGCAGTTCCACTTCTCTACTTAATTTCGTTTTCCATCAAAAAAAGTTCATTAAAATTGATACTAGAGGTAGTAGGAGAAGCGAAGAATACTGAAGATCTAAAAAAGTCTAGTTCTGAGATGATCTGACTAGCTAGTTCGCAGTGCTGCCGTACACACTTGGTCACTTTTTACAGTAACAATCTTCTTTAACTGTCGCAATCAAAGAAAAAAGTTACGCGGCGAGTCGCCAGCCAGAACACGTCGTGAGCAAAGCAAAAACTGGTGAGTTGAATAGAAATTCGAAGGCCACTCGCTAGATAACCATCGGACATAAAAACAACCGTCACTAAAGAACAATGGAATACTGAGCAGTTTGTAATTTGTAAAACGGATCAAATTAATCAATATTATGCGCGTTATGCCATCGTTCTTATGATGAAATAAGCTTTCGCGTTAACCTCATCACGGATGTTTCCTTTTTGGTAAAGATGCTGGAAGTTCACACGCTACCCTGTTCGAAACAACTCAAGGAAAGTGAAAAGTCAAAATCAAGTTGGATTTTCACAATGATTTCCAAAAATACATCAAACACAAAGAAAAGATCAAAGAAGAAGAAATTGAAAAGGAGGAAAATGAAAAATGAGAAGTAATGGGAAATGGAAGAGTGGATGAAATGTTACGCAATTCAGATTCCCGAGTGCCGACTTGGTGTTGAAATGACTACACAGATCTGGAACCTCCTGTGCCTTCATTGATCAGTCAATTAACTGTGATCTAGTAGACGTTGGAAGGCATCCCAAGTAACTCTGTGATCTTCCCCAATGGAAGGCTCATTTTGTAACATTTGATCTTATAACGGATAAATGTATAGGTCCGAACTCGAAGAGCAGAAAGGGTAAGCGGATTAATGAGTCAACAGAGGCCATCCAGATATGATTGGGAACAAGGCCAGAATTAAATGGAGCGGAAGAACGCTGAGTTAAGAACAGATTTTCCGCAATGATTCAGGGAGGGCGGGTTTCCACCGCTTTCAAATACAAAATTATCGCGCTCTATCGTCAATCGTTGTGGGAACAAGCGGATTTTTTTGTCATCCGTCCTTTAACATTAATTTGCTAAACTTCGCAATTCAATGTAATTCGTGTTTTGTGTAACGGTATTGCATTCGGTTTTCCCTGGTTACATTTGTTTGAATCAAATCATACCTTAGAGCGGCTTTTATATATAATTCACTTAGGTTCTGTGATAAAGTTGACGTTTGGCTGTTGCTATCAAATACACGGATCTATTACAATCTGTGCAGTCGTATTGAGTTTATGTATTTACAAACATTTGATTCTAGCAAAACTTCACAAAGTTGTGGACTATGGACTAAGCCTTTGGTGGAAGTGGAGCCCGTGCTCATTTTTTCCGGGCACTTTTTACTTCACTTAAAGATGGAACAGTGTCCAGGATACTAAGGCCGGGTTCCAGTCTTGTCGAAGGCTGAGCCTTTCACCCATGACTCAGTCATTCTGATAAACTTTTGGATCGCATATTGCACTGCTGCGAAAAGCAGCGATAAACGATTATTAACATTTCGAACTAAGCTTAATCAATTTCAGACAGACTCGGGTACACTTCTACGCAATAACTTTCCAAAATGGTACGAGTTTTTTTTTNTTTTTTTTTGGCTCAGACCGCTTTGACTCTTCTTTATTTTATTCCTTTCAGCCGCAGAACGATCATATGGATCTCCACCGTAAGAGGCACGGAAGACGCCTCGATTATGAAGAGAGGCAGTGAGTCTAATTATCTGATTTTGTTCTTCCTATCACTGGATGTTCAACGTCCTCTTTGTAAGTTATGTCGAGGCCAGTGATAAGATGGTAGCGGAAAAACGCTTGTCAGCAGTTGTCGAAACAATGTCGGAACTTTTTTCTCTGAAAGAAATGGTATATGTGTAGTAGGGAGAGATGGGGCGCATATCCCTCCGATCAAATTGTACCGTAAACTTCTTTATGGTGAACAGCTGTTGATCGCTTATTGATATGTTCATTTGTCGTTCCACATAATTGTTTGTTAAATGTAACTAATATCCCTAGGCGGAAAAAGCAAGCTCGAGCTGCTCATGAACGCTCACAAATGGCTAAGAAGTTGCGAGGTCATAAGGCCAAGCTCTACCATAAGAAGAGGTATTCAGAGAAGGTGGGAACCATTTAATCGGTTTTAGAAGGAGCCCTCTTTTGGCTGATGGAATTACGTCAAATTAGGAAGTTGTACTGGGTTTCAAGAAGAATTTCAGGTTGAAATGCGAAAGTTGCTCAAACAGCATGAGGAGAAGGAGCAGAAGAGCACAGTCGACACGCCTGATCAGGTAGTAATCTACGATGCCGCTTCTTGTTGTGAGGTTTTCCTGAGTGTTCAATATTCAGGGTGCCGTTCCTGCTTATCTCTTGGATCGTCAACAGCAAACTACTGGTACAGTTCTCTCAAATATGATTAAACAGAAGAGGAAGCAGAAAGCTGTGAGTTGGTTCATCGTTTTATTCAGAAGGTTCTGCAACCTTGAATGAGTTGGTAATGGAATAACTCGTCGTGTCGCTGTCCACCTTGCTTTTTGATCAGTCTATAGTATTTACCATCATAACATTGAATCTATCAGCATGTTATGTGTAAAAATAATGAACTGATTAGTTGTTGGATAGTTACGGATAAACCGTGCTCTCATTATTTGCAGGGCAAATACCAAGTTCCTCTTCCTCAAGTTAGAGCTGTCAGTGATGCGGAAGCATTCAAAGTGGTAAAGTCTGGAAAAACGAAAAGAAAAGGTTGGNCTCGTCGTGTCGCTGTCCACCTTGCTTTTTGATCAGTCTATACTATTTACCCATCATATCATTGAATCTATCAGCATGTTATGTGCAAGAATAACTATTGGTTGTTGGATAGTTATGGATAAACTGTGCTCTCATTATTTTCAGGGCAAATACCAAGTTCCTCTCCCTCAAGTTAGAGCTGTCAGTGATGCGGAAGCATTCAAAGTGGTAAAGTCTGGAAAAACGAAAAGAAAAGGTTGGAAGCGAATGGTCACAAAGGCATGTTCATTTCTACTCGGCCAATTTTTTTGACTTGTTTCTTTTTCTTATTTTCCTTATTTTATCTTCATCCCCCTTACATTCATTGTTGTTCAGGTGACTTTCGTAGGAGAGTCGTTCACACGTAAGCCAGCAAAGTTCGAAAGATTCATAAGGCCTATGGGATTACGTTTCACAAAGGTATGAGCTTGTTCCATTGGCTTCAGTTCATTTCTTACGATTTGTTTTGTCGATGTTTGTTATCGGCCGTGGGTTAATCGGAATTTCGAGAGACCAGCATTTTTGGGAATCAACTTGAATTGGATAAGTATTTCTAGTGTTTATTAATAATCCCATTGAATGAGGGTTTACTATGAAGAATATCACGGCCGATTTTTTTCACTGTTCAAAGGCTTTTACGTGTTTATCTATAACTTCACTTTACAACATTTTTTTATGCTGCCTCGAGGTATGGCTGCCAGTTTAGCGTGGTAAATACGCTTCTCTCAAACTTATAATCAAGTAATGGTTGATTAGAAACTGCCTAAAGGAAGTTTCCAGAGTGATGTTTATGTGAGTTGGCTATATTAACTGGGGTTCGTTTGCGTAAAGATGCTAAGAGGTTCATGACTGATTTGCTGCTCGTTAGCTACTGTTATTTATGCATCGCTTTTAATTTCGCTCTCTTTCATTCTTTCTTTTTCTTACCACTTGACAGTTTGTAGTTGTGTGTTCAGTGATGTCGCAATGGAACAACATTTTTGTCCGCTAGGTTGATAATGATAATTTTACTCCGGATGCGAATTATTATCCGAAGATTCCATCAGTTTTACAGTCGCTTAACCCCCCCCCCCCCCCCCCCCCTCTTTTCAGTCACCTCTCCTAACTATAGCTCTCCCCCTCTTATTTTCAACCCATTAGTTACCTTTAAAAAGCATTCATTCGCTTTTCGTTACCATTCAGTGGCACGACAATTCATTGCTTCAGTAATCGATTTCGTAGGGGACCACCCGCATAGTTGCATAACATTACTTTCCGGGTCGTTTCGCTACTGTCATAACATATTTACGCATCGTCATGACCTACTTTGCTAGTTTAGTCTTTGTTCTGATCTGAATGCTTGAAAAGATTTGAACTGTTGTAAACTTAGTTTGTTAAACTCAGTTGATGGAAATTTGGAAGGGGCTTGGAAATGTCCTATCTTCCATATTAGTCTAGTGTTATGCGTACTTGCTAAAGATGTTCTACTTAGGCTCACGTGACGCATCCAGAGCTGCAAACGACTTTCTACCTTCCAATTGTCTCAGTGAAGAAGAATCCTTCGAGCCAAATGTATACCTCACTGGGGGTGATCACGAAGGGAACCATAATTGAGGTGAACGTATCCGAGTTGGGTATGGTTACGCAAGGAGGAAAGGTGAGTTTTTGAAGTTTGTGCTTTTTTGGTTCGCATTACATTTCGTTTCTATACACCAAGTCTTTGTCGGAAATAGAGTGATATTTATCGGTTTTTTTTCCATTTTTAGGTTGTCTGGGGAAAATTCGCTCAAGTCACGAATAATCCCGAAAACGATGGTTGTATTAATGCAGTATTGTTGATTTGAGTTGTTCCATAAAGTAATTTTTCGTTATATGGTTTGAATATTGTTGAATGAGGATTTGTTGTTTCTGGTTTGTTGTTCATCACGCTGATTACCAGTTGACTATTTTATTTTAGAGGTATTTTATTTGAGAAGCTAGCTCCCTCTCTTTCCGACCACCTCCTTGTACATATTCATTGAAGAGTGAAAAGATAAATGATGCTTGTTTCATGGAATGTTGAGATATGAACAGACGGGTACACTTGGTGAAATTCCCTAGTGGATACCGTACTAATGAATATCATGTGTCGGTTTTGCGTCTTTCTCGTTCCGAATGTCCCACGAGAGTAGTTGGCGTCGGACCTATTGATGCCAGTGTGATGTGTTTGGGCATCCGTTGGCGCTTTTCTATTATCCGTCATCAAACCTTCAGAGAGTTGTTCATGAATCATTGCTGCGAATTATAGAATTCTTCACGAGATCCGGGTATACGGTAGTTGTTGCAAAGGAGATTACGGTAGGGAAAGTTTTAGAATAGAGCGGCCCGATGGATAATCGTTTTCATTGCTTAGTGATAATGTTAAGAGGATTCTGGGAGAGGTGGTCTTTCGGAAAATGAGCTTTGTAGTTCTTTCTGGTCATCATTTCTTGGATAAGTTTTGGACCGACTTCCGATGGGAGTATGAGCGCGCTTCGCTTGCAGCATGGGTGAAAAGAAATGTAGTTGCTGCCGAGTTTTCAGGTGACTTTTTTTTCGTAAGGTGTGATGTTAAGTAGGTATCTCAGGAGAAGTATTTGTAGGGGAGCCAGTTCAGCAGCCCACTTGAGCAGCATATCGAGGCAATCTGCTTCTCGTAAAAGGTGGGTCCGACCCTTTTTCATCTGTCGTCTTAAAAAGTTGATTCTGAACTTTGTCCACGCATCATGATCTGCTTGAGAATCAGTGACGCCACCAAGATATATTCGGTTCATTTAAACGATTTCAGCTTTGACTGACTTCGTTTAGGATAACGGCTTGAAATTTTCCTCCGAGCAATGGAGTCACCAATGCCTGTCATTCCTGTAGCCAGCCAGCTAAACTTATCACCAAGACCAGCACCATAATAAAAATTACTATCTTAGGCAGGATGCATTGTTGGTGAGTCAGCCTCAACTTCTCAAATATGGTAGATGATAGGTGAGTTCTCGCTTTTAACGGAAACCATGTTGTAGTCTGACACCTTGAACTTTTAGTTCTATAGTTTTCATTCGAGAAAAGACTGCTTTTTGTAGTTTGAGTAATATTATTAGGCCCAGAGCCAAGCTGCCATTGATTAGCGCATGGACAGTACTTCAATATAAATATGGAATTTGGATACTGTCTCAGAGAAGAATAACTCCTGAGATTATCTTCAATTATAGGTGAACAACTTTCCCCATAGTGACAGAATGTAAGAACTGTAAAGCATCAATCGTTCCTAGTGAACTACTCCCCAGGGCTGACTTCAGCCTTTGAACTTCTTCTCTGAAATGTGAAGAACTTCTCGTGGCGTGAGTATCTTGTGTTTGAGCAGCATAAACAGTGAAAGTGTAGTAAAACTGATGTAGTAAAAGTTTATTCGAAGCTTATTTCAAGAGATCTTCAAAGAGGGATGACTTTGACTAGATTCAGACCTGTGACTGCTCGGGCGTTTGGGGATTGACAAGAGGTCCTTGACAGCGTTTGTTCTTCATGCGACGATTTTGAAACCAGATCTTTACCTGAAATACGTTGATTACTGATTCTTGAGAGCAACTCTAGAGAAGTCACTGTTTCATATCGTTCCGCTAAGGTCTCCCTCAAAAGCATTAGCCAGCATACTGACCTTTTGAGCAGGCCTATTTTTTTACCTCTAACTGCCTCTTCCAGTAGATTATGAAGAGTAAGTAAAGCTGTATTTGCCTTCCCTGACCTATTTGACTTTCAAAATCATTTAGTTCAGAAAATAATAGAAGCCGCGGTGTTAATCTGTTAAAGTGGTGGCGGTCGCGAAGATAGGAAGCGGTGTTGAACCAGACTCAGGCTTTTACCGTCGTTAATGTTAAAAGAGGCATATATTCAGTTTGTGTCTAAGGGCTGCTAAGACAGGTGGTACGCTTGGCTGGTGCATTCCATTGAAGATGGCTAAATTCGTACACATTTGGCACACGGTTAATCCTTAACTACCATATTTGGCTTCTCGCGTCTTTTGTAGCCATTTACAGATGTTCATAGTTGTTAATAGTACAAGTGAAAATATCGGTTTTATGAGATCGAGTTTACCTGTGTTTCAGTGAGACAGAGTTCCTGTGCCAGTTGGTAACGTCTAGGTCGACTGAGGTACTTGTTCTCACCGAATTGACGCTCCAGTTCGATAAGCTGCTCGCTGGTGAATGCCGTACGGGGACGTCGCATTTTGCCCCACGTCTGCCATGCTCCCACTGAAATACTTGAACTCTGCTTTTCAATCTTCAGAATCACCTTTCGAAAGATCAACGTACAAGTTAGTGCCAACTGGTCGTACAGTAGTGGTACGGTTGGTGCAAGGAGCGGGTACTGTAGTCGATCGATGGGGAAATTTGATGTGATCGAGAAAAGAGGTGAAGACGCTGGAGAAGTGAAGGTCATTATGCTACGTCTTGTTGTTTTCTAATTTTCTACTCACCAGGAGCTGTAGTGTTTGCATGGGGTACTGTAGTGCAGGAAGTCGCTGTAGAGAGTGGTACGGGTGACTGATAATGAGGAGTAGCAAGAGGAGTGGTATCGCTGCATTGAGGTGATCTTCGGAGTTTACCTTAAAGGTGAATGGTAGTGAGTAATATGGCTCTCCTAATTTAATTTACCAGGCTAGCATGCGGTTTTTGAAGTTCAATTTAAGAGCTTCTTGCTTGGGATATGTGGGGGTACTATGTGTAGTGTACCACACTCGCTATGCTTAATCAGAAAAACTAATAAAAGATTCCAAAAGTGGAGCTCATTGTGAAGTGTTTTATATGACCTTTCAGACGTACAGTGACGCTCAAAAGTCTTCGGTGAAATGGTTCTTTAGCCGTACTTTTCAGTCGTAACTCCTTTCCTACAGGAGCTAATCATGTGAAATTTCTACATTTGTAGCGTGGGTGTACTGTGAGTATTTACCCCTATTAACCTGCAGTCTGATCGTGTTCCAGATATTCCAAAGAGCATGAACTCAAAATCGACTGAAAATACAGATGATGACCCTTCTAAAAACTCTTTCCATTTTGTCATGTTAAAAGTGTTTGAGGGGTAATGCCGAACACATTAGATGAGAAAAACGCACATAACGTGCGAATAAGTGCAGACGTCAACAACTTAACTTTTCGCAAAATCTGCTACCGCAACAAACACCCTGCTCTATCTGTGGGTATTGCAGCTTTGCAGTCAAATAGCGTTGGGTAGGGTGAAATATGCTCTAGTTAAACATATCCGAATTTTGCGCGATTTGGTCTACTAAGAAAAAAGTTATGAACGAAAAAACGTCGAAGAATTTCACCGAAGACTTTTGAGCGCTACTGTACATCACCTTCTAGGCTTGATANTTTTAGCAAAATCTGCTACCGCAAAAAACACCTTGCTCCATCTGTTGATGTTGCAGCTTTGCAGTCAAATAGTGTTGGGTAGGGTGAATTATGCTCTAGTTAAACGTATCCGATTTTCGTGCGATTTGGTCTACTAAGAAAAAAGTTATGAACGAAAAAGCGTTGCGATTTGGTCTACTAAGAAAAAAGTTATGAACGAAAAAACGTCGAAGAATTTCACCGAAGACTTTTGAGCGCTACTGTACATCACCTTCTAGGCTTGATAGCTTTCCAACTAGAAGTTTTAAAGGTTAGGGTTTTCCTAATTTGAACTTTCAATTGGTTTTGATGAGGTACCGCATCCGACTAACGTGGAGTTGCTATTGTCAGTCAAGTGCTAGTGGGGGCTAGTCGTTAGACACGACTATCCTTCCACCCAAGTCTGATAACTAGGTGCTGCTCCCACAAAATAGGCCAAAAAATAATAGTGAGTCCAGGTGTCCTTTTGAAACCCCATATATGCAACATACTATTTTAAGTTAGAGTTCGTGCCATTTCCAAACTTTTTTGATTCAGCTCAATTTCGAAATAAATGCACCGTCAATGAGCACCATATGCACCAACACTGTCGACAACTTGTTGCCAGTGACTAGACAGTGTATGAATGCCTCGTCTCTAGAAGTCCTGCGGTATCGAGCTGGAAAGGAGAGCGAGGTCGCTCTTGAGATTTTCCGGGGAATTGTATTACTTGCCCGCAAGATGGCTGCCAAGGGGCAGAAATAGATGGCATTCAGAAGGGGCCAGATCCGGGCTACATGAAGTATGTGGAAGAGTTTCCAGCCAGTCCCAGAATCTCCATGTGTAGGCTCCGAGACGTATGGGATTAAGCATTGTTGTGGAGCAGGTACACTTTCTCAAAATCCGTGAGCTGGATCTTTTACTCCAAAAGTTCGTACATGACTACAGTAGACCTCGCTCGTGACTTGTTAGAAGGGCTACCTGTGATATACTCAGCGAACGCCCGAACAGACGGGCAGTATAGCCTTCCTGTCGGACAGATCTGATCTCACAGCCGGTTAGCTCCTTCTGATGGGTTCAGCCACTGATGTTTCCGCCTGCAAATCACGTAACTGCATGACTTCTCATATCTACTGATAACGACGTCCAGCAGTGCGTTTGGTGGGAGCGGGTTTAAAGTTGTGGACAGCACTCTATTCATGAGAGCTGGTCAACTCTTGAAGAAGAAATCCATTTGCCCAACTTCAAAACTTTTCCGTGAAGGCGAAGACCTCTCTTCACCTAAATTTTGATGCAAATGAGTGTGATCGCTAGAGAACGAGTCGCTCGTCCAGAACCAGGAACATAGCCAAACCATTTCAATGTGCACAAACCTCTGAAGCAACAGTATATCTTACTGAGTCGGACCCTTAGATGCAGGTCGGATTAGATCTCCTGAATCAGTTAGTTTTATCACAGAAGACTGAATTTTCCTACCGTCATCGATGCAGTAGTTTAGAGGAGTGTCTGGAGCTGTTCCTCGATTCGAGCATAGTAAAGCGTCAATGGAAGCAAACATTCTAGAAATTTCAAGGTTGAATGATCCTCCGTTGTAAGCTCGAACGGTTGAAATCAATCTGGAATGAATGCGTGTTGCTCAAGGCTTTGCGAGTCGTAATAGGACTACCAGGATCTGAAGATACAAGTTTTCAGTGTCTCTAGTTATATGGGTAGAAATGAACTGGTACATACTTATATCGCGTATCGCAAAAGTAAATGAATCGCTACAGAATGCTGATGTGAGCTATGACGAAGGCGTTGATGGCGAATGAGCGAAGATGAGCAGTCTATCGCGTCGTAGAGTCATCCATCCCAAGGGGATGCGATGGAGGCGTTTACACAGCTACCAATGGACGATTACGGTAGTCACTGGTCTACGGGAGCTCCTTCGGCCCGAAAATGCTTGATCCTTGCTTAATCGTGAGATCAGAGAGCGATTATTTTGTTATCAGAATGGTCCTCGTATATCATTGAGATACCTTATGCAAAGGTGTGGGAATGAATCTCGGCTGTTCATGCATATTATGGGATATTCACCATCCCATGGATTCTTCAACATTCATAAGCTAGCCGAAGTCCAAGAATTCCAAGAAATTTATCAAGGGAGCTGCGCTCGTTCCAGGCCTTGCTACTATGACAGTTTTCGTAAGTCCAGGTATCAAAATCCCAGGCCGACGTTGTTCAGACCAACCAGGTCCTTCATCGCTCCAGACTGAGATCAATGGTATCGGAGTGGTGGAGGAATTAAGGAAATGGCTTCTATGTACGCTATTCCCCCAAGTTCTTGTAGTACTAGCATACTACTTGTGGAGCCTTCATACACATTAAAAAACACCGTAATTCTTGATGAATTGCGTTTAATCAGTGTAAGGTGGGTTGCCCGGGGTTACAGTTTACGACCCTTTCTGACTTCAAATGGCTTTGAATGCGGAACAAGTTACTTGTTAAATCGAACTCTGAAGTGGTGTAGGTCTTGAGTGGCCTTGAGTATTATACAGTCAATTTGAATGCACGGCTCATCTTGATTTCTTGTTGACTGGTTATACTCCATCGGCCTTGTTCCCTCCATCAGTCACTCCATACGTCTTGGAGTGAATGCACGTGGAGAGCAATTGACATCGCTGTATAAATTTCGTTTTCGGTCGTTTCCGACGCGGTCGGGCACTCAAATCTTTAGACAAGGCTCCCATCGGAACTGAAAATTAAAGTAGTAACCGTTACTAGAAAGTTTTCTCTTCAGAATTGTTGCTTCTAGCCTTCTTCTTGAACTTGTTGCTATTGGGCTGAGGGAATATATTATTTGAAATAAACTTGAACTATGATCAAAAAAGAAAAATTACCCATGAACCCAGAGGCGGTTTAGTTCGAAGTTCATAGAAATTTCTTGTCTTCCATCCCAACCGAATCAACTTTTTTCTACCAGATTTCGTGTTATAATGGTTTCCGACAAATCGAGTAAAACCTCGGCTGGTATGCAAATTTCCCGTCGCCATCTCCCACCGACGGCGATTTTGACGTTCCGTTTGAAAGATGGACCGCTCACCCATGGGAGTGAAATCTATTAGGATGTTTCAACGAGAAAAGCGATTGCCGACATCACTTTATGACGGACTTTCGCGCATGTTCAGCAGCTTTTGAAATGGAATCAGGTCTGTAGGGTGGTCTCAGAGCTATTTGATGCTAATGAAGGAGAATCTAATCAAAATTTTCCGGCGTAATCTCGCTATAACGCCTAGAATGATTAAGTGAAAATAACTTTCACTGAGATTTTAATGTGCTGATGGGATCCTAGCCCTGAACACCCTGGGAACCTACCTAGTTTCAATGAACGTTCACAAATTTTGAACTTAAAACATTACTGTACAGGAGAGTGTTGTTATCTCTTGTTCCAAGGTGTTGGAAGAAGCGTCAAGCTAAGACCGAGTAAATATCGGGTGATACCACATTGTAGAGTCCGAAATTCTTCCTTGTACCTTTAAAGCCTGGAATTGAACAGAGGCCACCGTGCTATGACTTCTGACTGTCTACTTTTCGCAAGGACATATGGTTACAAGCTACCAAAAACCTAGAAAGGCGCCGAAAGAGTATATCCAGGAAAAATGTACTGGGCAAGTCCAATGATGCTTTCAGCAGTTGTTCAGTGGGATTGGGTAAATAATGTTCCAATAGGGATACGAAGGTTGGCACACTCCTTCAAAATTTTTACCACGAGCAGCTTCTTTTTCGTTCAGTGGCTCAGTTCGGGTTCAGGTCGTGTTTGCGAATTAGGAACCACCTGCGGATATGGAAGCGAAGGATGCGAAAATGCCCTTTTCGGGCAATCCAGTAGACTTACTCGTCCAAAAACGCATCAATTCTTACTTTTATCACGGTCGCTGCTAATCAGAGAGAGAGAAAAAGGCGGGATGACGTGATACACAGAAAAGATTCGGTTTACTTCTTTGCATGATCAACATTACACTCATGGGAACCAATGTCAAACATGCAAGGGAGATTTCTATAGAGGTTCTGCTTGATCTTGGCAATCTTTAG